ATAAGTCAGAGTGTAAGTATAGAAATAATACCTGAGTCCATGCTCTCCTTCCAGTTGATAATTTCTTTTGATAAGATTAAATTTTAAATGATAAACCTTTAGAGGAAGGAGAAATAATTATATGTATGCATTATTTCATGTTTTTCCCCCACATACTCAGAATTTTCTACTTACTGCAAAAAAATCTATAATTTATGAAACATACATGTTCAAGTAATACAGATAGTAACTAGTGCCTTTCATTTTTCAAACAAATCATGACATTTTCTTTTGTGCTATTCTGAGCAAAACAGCAGTAAAGCTTACTCCTATGATTTTTCTAACCTGTTGCTATTTTCATTAAAATCTAAGAATTTGTTGAGCACAGTTTGAAAAATATTTGGGAAGAGGGAGCCTAAAATTTTTATTTATTTATTTTTTTACTGGGAGAGAAATATGTTAATACAACAGGAGATTTTGCTATTCTGTTTTTTTAAAAAAGACTTTTTTAAGGAAAATGGTGGCCTTAAAATAATGTCCCTTTTCTGAATTTATTTTGTTGCTTCAAATACTTTACTGAAACACAACTGACCAAAAAGAAGAAAGCATTTCCAAATGCTTGTTCTTTGAAATGTAAAAGCAATTTCAATGGAAAAGTTAAAATTTGTGCTCATCGGTTCCTGTACTATAATTTTATGTAATTATTCTCAGAGAAATATGTTAGGGTATATAAAGAAAAATTTAAGAGTTTTTTACAGCTGTGAAAAACTCTTAAAAGCAACAATTTTTTTTTAAGCCAGAGCATTTTGTCTCCAGGTAGGAAAATCAAATGAGAACGGAATTTTGCTTTTGGAAACAAAAACAAAGCGCCCCAGGTTCCAAGAGCTTCCACCAACACTCCGGGTCGGGTCCTCCTTTCTACAGGTCCCATGTTTTAAGGTATCAGGAAAGTTACTGCCAAGTAGTTTACAGAGACTCAGAGAGTGGGTGGAATCGGGTCTCTTTCCCCGACATGCGGTCGGCAGCTTTTACGCGGGAAGGACCGCACGGGGGTGTGTAGACCTAGGTCCCCAGATCCACAGGCCAAGCGCACCCCTCCCTGAGGGCGGGCGGCCTCCCCAGCTCCGGCAGAGGAAGGCGCATTTCTTGTGGCCGTGGCTTCGGGTGGGAGCTGTGGGTGCAAGCGCGGGACTGATGGAAGACAGAGGCGAGTGGGGGCGGGGAAAATCATTTTCTTGGGTTCTCCCATTCTCCCTCTCCCCTTTACCTCCCCATCTTAGATTTAGAAGGTTATGGCGTCTTATAAAGGGATCATTATAAATCATGCATGTTGGAAATTTGGTAAAAATACTTGATTGTACCTAGTGTTTTTGCGCTTGTTGTGAAGGCAAGGGTTTCTTTTGTTTGTTCTTGGGGACAAGGTGAGAAATGTAAAAATCCCTTAATTAGTGAGACATCTCCAGGCTTCTTCAAAATGACTGACTTCTGGAGAGGAGGTGGTGGTATGACAATAAAGGGAAAGGTGACAGGAGAGGAAGATGAGAGGAATTTATAGACTGGAAAGGGCAGGTTTGTTGTGTGTGTGTGTGTGTGTGTGTGTGTGTGGTGGGTGTGTGGGTGTGTGTGTGGTGTTGGTGGGGGAATGTCCTGGGGACCCTGGAGCCCCAAGCTGCGTGTAAGCGCCCAGGCTGCAAAGACAGTGCTGGGGCTACAGACCAACCTTATTTGTGGGGAGGAGAGGACAGCCCCTCCTCCTAGTTTTAAGAAGAACTGAAGCATTGTTTCTGCTTTAATAGAAATCACTCCTTGCTTATAGTTGAAAATAACGAAGGTGGGCTCTCACTCTTCTTTTTGCTCCTTGCTCAGTTGTGGGTTTGTGAAAGAATATGTGTACCTCCATTTTAAAATGGGGAAACCTGAAATTGTGGTAACTAAAGGACATCTGATTATTTTTTTGATTCTCCACCCCACTGCGTTGATGATTCTTTGTAGCTACTTGAATTCATTTTAAAGACATTTTGAAAGAACTGTGATAAATCAGGCTATAAAACATTTGGCCTTTGCAGGTATAAAACAAGCATTTTGAGTCAAACACGGATCTTTCTGGCACTAAAAACAAATAGGAAATGAGAGAAAAATTAAAACCAGAAGACTTAAGAAAGGTGACAAATTGGAAAGCATTGTAGGACACTCATAGGACCATTTTATGTGAAAGAAGGATTCTACGGGCTTTAAGAACTTATGGTCAGTTTATAAAAGGATCTTAGGCTCGAAAGATTTGGGAGGGAGAGAAAAGACAAATCTGTTTAAAAGACAGTGCCATGTCCTTAAAATGGTGTGTGAGACTCTACATCTCCTTCACTCCTCTGCCTTTCCAGAGCCTCCTTCCCTCTCTCTTTCTTCTTTTCCTTCTTTCTCTAGACTTCCCTGATTCCTTCTCTCCTTTTTGTAATCCCACCCCTAAAGTATGTAAATGCATTTGCCTTAAATTCTTTGTGAATGAATTTTATAAGATTTCTCAGGGTTCCCTGTTTAAAAAAAAGCCTTCTATACAACTTGAAAGGCTGATGTACCTCTCAGGAAATGAATGAGTCGATAACCTCTGACACCAGTGACCAGTCCAGTGAACCCTACCTTAATTCCTCTAATACTGGAGGCCCCCAATCTGGCACAACTGTGAATCTCATAACTGTACCATCCCGTGTGGTTTAGCTGTGGTATTCTACACTTTCATTTACGTACTGATAGGTTTGAATTTTGTCGAATTTAACAAACAACTCAAAATCCACTTACTGTTTTCTGATTTTTATGAGTAAACTTTTTTCTAATTAAAAACTTGTAGATTTATCATAAATGTTTAAAAAAACCTAACTACTGGCCTGTGAATTTTACGATAATGACTTTTTGGTAAATTGTAGCAACTTCATCACATTTTACATGAATATTTTTTCAGGTTATTTTTCTCTGTTACAGATGTTGATTTTTAAAAAGTGATTGTTTAAGACAAAAATGTTTAAATTAGTTTATTTTGTATATGTCATGTCTAACCCTCAATGCCATCTTATAAATCAGTGTAATTAATAGTTACCAGTTTCTACTGTAAAATAATGCCTGGCCAATGTTTTGTTACCAAATAATTTTTTCAGAGCATAGAGTTTGTTACACTTACAAAATCATTTGGATTTTTACACTTATTCTTTTTTCCCTACCAGCTGGCACATTGTTATTCCCCTCAAAGTAAATAAAAGCTTGCCTTCTTTTCTGAGAACAACAAAAGAAATAGATGAAACATCTTTCCAAATTGATCAGTTGTTGTTGACACCTTTTACCACAAGCTGCTGAAAATAATTTGTGTTTTTAGATACATCCATTTCTTTCAGATCTGAACCAGTTAATTTAAATTTCTTCTTAGTTGTTTAAAACGACAAAGAGGTGTTAATAGGTGTATGTGGGTTTTTCAGTAGCTTCTCGGTTCAGAATCCCAACATTTTGGGTTGTGTGAAACACTTAGCATGTGGGCTTGCTGGGAGAGATGCGGAGGGGGCTTGCGGCATGGTGGGGGAGGGTCAGCTGCTGGCTTTGCGGAAGGGAAGTGGTATCTATCTGTACAGTTTTTCCGCAAACTGCTTGTTTAAGAGAATGGGGGTGGGGTGAAGAAAGACTGGCGGGTGCCTTTCAGTGTTTCAAAACGGGTGATATTTTATCCTTTAAAAGAAGTAGAGTATCTCTAGTTAATCCATAGTATTTAGTAGAATATTCGATGAGGGGTTAATGTTGAATCTCATGATAATGATCTTTTGAAACAATTTGAAAGGTAAAAATGAAGCATTTTGAAACCGGGTTTTTGGCAAAGAGAGGGGAGGAGCCCAGTGCGCTATTAAATTTTCGTTTATTCAGCTCTCCCCCTCTCTGGTGTGGACATTTAAAATGCCAGGGTCCGGTCAGTATTCTAGGAATTTACCTTTCACCACGTGCCCTTTTCTTCCCCTCCCCACCAGCCCCTGCCTCTCCCTCCACCGCTCTCCTCTTTTTCCCCTCCCCCTCGACTCTGGTCTCTGCTTTCTGCTCTTGGGGAACAATCGCCACTGATTGAGGTTCGCTCTATACTAGACTGGAAAACTGGGCTGTTATTTAGGAAGTCATTAATCACATCTCCTCCCCCGGAAAGAGATGGCGGAGAAACCTGTGAAGTACAATTCCCTACCAGCCCTCCTTAAAATGTTCCCAACTGATAAACCTAGATACCCTTTGACTGCATGAAGGCAATAGCAATTTTTCCGGTAGAATTTTATTTTAAATTGAAAAAAAAATTCAGGATACATTAATAGGGTGTCTTTGCCTTTTGGGAGGTGTGCATTAACATTATGTGAAGTTTAATGGGGATGCAATTTATAAATTTATATTTTATAAACAATGTTTTCCCCTAAGAATTAAATGAAACGCTAGTGTCCAGGGAGGTTGGCTGCTGTGGGGTCGCTGAATTCCTGGGGGAGTCGGACCTTTCGTTTTATTGGGCTGCCCCCCCCCCCAGGCAGGCTTGTGTGCAGGGCACGCGTGCACAGGCAGCACTGTGCGCTGTGCTAAATCCACCGCTCACAGCACCTCCATTGTGCTTAAATACAAGCACGAAATCAGCGTTCTGATTAATCGGAAAGGAGCGTCCCAAATTGTCTTTAAGATCACATGCTGGAGTTTTTTCGTGTTCATTCATAAATTATTTTGATGTCAGCACAGATGAAATGGTGATTGGTTATCTCTTCCTCTTGCCAGCCCCGTAAGGATCCGAGGTGAAATTAGTAGCAAGAAAGCATGTAATTGACAAAGTCACGTGTGCTGAGGGGGGGCCAGAAACTGGAGAGAGAAGGGGGAAAAAAAAATCAAAAGAAGGAAAGCACATTAGACCATGCGAGCTAAATTTGTGATCGCACAAAATCAAGATGTTAGGTTGATGCCGAAGACCACTCTGTTCCAAGGGGAAACTTTTCATCTCTCGAGTTTGGAGCTGAGGCCCGTGGGGCAACATGGCCGAAGGTTAATATTCTTTTCTATTGTTTTACCATGATTTTCTTTCTTCTTGCTTTCCCCTCACCCCGTTTCTTACCCTTCTTTGCCTGTCCCTCTTCCCCTTTTATCCTAATACTGGGCACTAACTCCCCCCTGCCCCCCACCCACCCATCGGGCAATGAGGCTTTCACAAACCTATTGTTACAGACCTCCAAAAATGTTTTGTACCGCCCACACTGATTCACAACTTGAAAAGCTTTTAGGGGGCTATTGTTTGAATTGTGTGAGTGTGAGTAAGCGCAGTTTCAGTTAGTGAACCTAGAAAACTTTTATACACCTGCCCCCTCCCCCACCCCACCCCAACTTTAATTGAGAGTTATGGGGGGAGGGGAGTGCGCATTGCCGACAACCCTGGATTCCCTGCTACAGCTTGTGTGTTAACTTGCAGCTCTAACCATCTTCAGGGTTTTGATTTCTCTTTCCTTCTCGTACTCACCAGAGAAAAGTGTTGCTGAAATTTTCTCTTTGTAAATGGGATCAATGTATAACCAGCAATATGCAAGTAAAGTATCGCATGCTGTACTGTAATATGTGACCAGAAAATCGAAGTTAAGTGAAAAAGTACACGTATGTACAGAAATGTGGAAGTTGGTGTGATTGATAGAAGAGTGGCTTCCCGCTTCTCTTTCAACCCTTTTCATTTTAAATATGTGTAGGGAATTGAACCGTTTACTAATGCTTTTACGCTTTTTTCTAGCTTTTCTCCCTCCTCCCTCAAGCTCTCCCCCTCCCCCCTTTTCAAGGAGCACGATGTGGAAATGCTGGCTCACTGACTTTTTGTCCGGTTCCATCCCAGGCGGGGCGAGCAAAGGTGGAGGAGAGGAGCCAGGGCGCACGGAGCCGGCGGACGAGGAGTCCCCGGTCCTGCACGGGGCAGGCCACTGTAAGTGGTTCAACGTGCGCATGGGATTCGGGTTTATCTCTATGGTGAGCCGAGAGGGGCGCCCCTTGGACCTTCCCGTCGATGTGTTTGTACACCAAGTAAGCAATTTTTTTCTGCCTTTTTCCATATGGAGGACTTGATTTGTAGTTTTGTTAATAAACCTGCAATAATGTTAGGTATATTGAAAGATAAGATCTTTCTCAAAATCGAGTGACAATCCAGTTTTAGGGTATTGGGTACAAGCTCCTTCCAGGGTATCTTTTCCTAAACAGAAATCGAAATCTTTGATATGTCACTATTTGGACTTTGGTTGACGTTATTAGCATTTCCTCCTCTTCAGACAGTGAAATTGCAGTCTGGCAGCTTCCGGTGTTATGGGTGCAACTTACTCAGTCGTCTGTGTCTAGTGACTTAGGGAAAGATGAATGAAGAAACAATCATTTTAAGAAAATTTTTAAAAAAGGAAAACATTTTGCTGTTGTAAGAAATGTATAGGTTGCCCTTATTTTAGTCACATCTGCTAATAGTAGCCCCTTGTATTATTTTATCCCGTCAGCCCAATAGTCATTTACGGATTCAGATCAAAACAATTGGATTTCACAATAAAATGAAATACAACATTGTTGGCCTGGAGTGGATTTGAAGAAATGCCAGAGAGGATTCTTGGTAATCATTTAAGAACTGTGCTCCTGGTAGAGCATTGGTCCAAGCATACTGTCTCTTTAAGAGAACTTAAAAAAAATCCAGCCAAAGGCAGCTGTAGATGGTGTGTTTAAAATGTACTGGTCTGCTACTTGGGGTAAATTTCCACCACTGCTTATGTTGTGTTATAATTTTTAAAGATGCTTAAATACCAAACAGAATGTCATTGCTTCCCATTTTCAAAAGTTTGCTCAGCAAGTGATAAATTGGTATCTCTTATTCTGTCATTTCTTTCTATTCATTAGTCTCTTAATAGTAAAAATATTTATTTTGCAAGCCTATCTGTTTCATCAAAAGAAGTTAAGAAAAATAGAAGTTTTCATAGCGAAGTAATAGTTAGAAATAAAGAGGCTTAGGAGTGAAGAGGTTTGTTTTGGCTGGACATTGAAGTTAAAAAGAATTGACTAAGAGTTGGTAATACTATATAGGTGGACATAGTATCTCTGTTGAAAACTGATGTTTATTTGATACTGTTTTGTGTTCTGGTAGTATTTACACCCCATCTTCCCTCTGTCCCCAAAGGACTATCATCTTCAAATTACATGTATAAACAATAAGAACATAGGAGACTATTCAGTTTTCTCCCCTTGTCCTGTGGTGCTGGGTAGGTTCCTGCCCTTGTTATGGTGTGTGTTTTCTTTTCTATAAATGCCTGGACATCATTATGTGGAAGATCAGCATAATCTGTGCATTGAAACTGGGTTTAAATGCCTAAATACACATAGGCTGCTGAATTTTGCTTTGCAAAATAATGCTGAATTTTATTTTTTTTCTGCTTAGACTGAATGAAATCACTGATAAATCCATTTTCTCTCAGACTCTTGCTTCCCCCTTGAACCTTCTTTGGATTGTTAAATTGCTCTTTACGATCTCATAAATTTGTTTTATAGATGAATGAAAAAATAGCACTTTTCTTCTTTGTCTGATCACACCTTGTTATAATTTGGTTATGTATTTTTTAAAAAATATTAAAATAGACTTTTTTTTAACCAATGTTAATGTATAGAACCATGAAACATCCAAATTTAAGCTATTTGATGATTATATATTGATAAACTTTCCTATATTCACTGAATTTGATAAATATATTGCTAGTAAAGTTTTTTCTTAGTAGATAGCTAACAGTTTCTAGATTATAAACATTGATTTTTTAATATTTGGCTTGAATTAATCTGTTGTGTATCATTGTGATGTGAAAACGGTAGTATTAAATGATGCATAAAGAACTTATTGAGATTGACATAAATTACACATAAACTGTATGAATGATTATTTTGAAAAAGACAGAAGTCCTAATATTTGTAAAGATGAGATGGTTGTACATGGTCGGTGTAGGTATTGTGTGATAAAATGAGGTTGCGGTTCAGGACCATTTCATAAAAATTTTAAAATTTTAGCTGTCATTTTTATTGTGTAAGCATTTTTGAAAATATGCCAGGTTTTATGTTTGAATAGGGTTTTTTGTATGTGTGCAAAAATACATGTTTCATTGGATTTCTTTTTTAAGTATTCTGAACCCATTTTAATGCTATATATTTGGGGAAATAATTATTTTAGTTTCTTTAAAATAATATTTAAAATTCATGCCAAAGTACCCAGGATTTTTTTCTTTTAAAAATATTGACTTCAAAGTTGCTATGAAGTAGTGTTTTTAAATAGAGTTGTAGATTTGTTGCAAAATTTTATTTTAAATTTATTGTCATTAATCTAGTCAAAATTTCCTGTAGTTCTTGTGATACTTAAATCCTGAGGCTAAAACACATGCATAGGTGTTGTGCTTTCCGGATCTCTAGATATGTTGATAAATGCAGTGTGATTCTGCTGTTGGAGGTAGTGTGTGACTTTAGTAATTTAAAATAACAGTCTTCATTTGATTTTTTAATGTTAACTTGTAATTTATGATCACATTTTTCTGGTTGGAAAGTGAATATTGTATTCTGATCCATGTTAATAGTGAAGCATTGGTGAAAGTTTTATTTTTAAAAATTGACAAGATATGTAAGTATTATATTTGTGAGTTTGGTTATAGTTCATTGTTTTTGTGGTGTTCATTAAAATATTTAACTGAAAAGTTTTTAAAGATGATTTAGTTTGTAAAATAGGATACTTTTTAGGCACTTCTTAAGGATCTATTGTAAAACTCAAAAGATTTGCCTCATTTGGAGGATATGTGGTTAATACAGATTTGTAAGTCTAGGTTCTTACTAAGGTGACTTCATTTAGAGTACAATTATTTTCTAAGTGCAAGTAATTAATACTCCCATCGGTTACTTTATATTAGTAAGTTTTTAAAAATTGTATATGGTTAGATTGTAGGCTGACGTGTTTAAATTGCCTGGAAAAGGTCACTGGCTTTTTTTTAAAGTACAGGTTTTTAATAGGACTTAAACATTTGGTGGTAATTAAACATTAGATCTCTTTTTGGAAAAGAGCAATGTTACTCAATAACAACCTGTTGATGTTTGTTAATCATGTAAGTTTCTCATTACATAGATCTCAATATATATTTCCAAAGTCCATCTCACCTAAGAAAATATGAATTTGAATTTTATTTTCTTCTGGAGAAGTACAGAATCCGTTCTTATTTATTTCTCAGCTTATTTGCATAGTAATACTTTCTTCACACATTGAGTATATGTATTTGGGATTCTTGTCATCAAATATGATACAAAGAATTTTATATAAACTCATTCATTTAATAATTTATGGAAGAATTTTTTTCTAAAGAAAAAGTAATTTTATAATTACTACAATTAAACTACCATTATACAGTAGTCTTAAGTTTTATTAATTTGCCTTGAAATAATCATTTTTCAAGTATTGGTGTTTTCTTCTAATGTTCCTTAAATCTGATTTATATTTTCATCTTTGTGGATAATACAAATATCCACATTACAAAGATTGTAATTTTTTGCTCCTTTATTACTTGATGTATAATCTCAAGAAGTAGTGAAAATAGAAGAAATAAAAAATGAGTATAGTAACAGTTAAATTTAAAGCATTATTAGTACTGAAATATGAAAACATTTGGAGATGAGTATTTAAATATATGAAAATTTTTAGCATTATACACATTTAAGTCAATTGATTGAGCCTAGAGTTCATTTCAGAATTAATTACACAGTTTACAAAGACATTTAACTCTAGTATGTTGATGTTTAAGGGCTTTCAAAGTATTTCATTGCTAATCAATTATCCATATTTAACTTTTGTCATAGTTTTTAGCATGATAACATTTTGTAAGTGCAGGATATATGTGTGATTATTGTTACTCTCACAGCAGTTTCAAATGCCTTTTTTTTTTTCCTAGTACTAAGATGAAACTCTGGGCCTCAGGTATGCTAGGCATCTTTCTACCACAGAGTTACATCCCCAGCCCAAAATACCAGTTGTAAAAAATACTTTGGTAGGCATGGTAGTATGCACCTGTAAACTCAAGAATTCTGTAGGCTGAGGCAGGAGGATCCAAAAAGTTCAACACCAGCCTAGACTAAATAGTGAGACTATATCTCAAAGAAAAATTGGAACCTTAAATATACATGATCGTAAACATTTATAGCTTATTTGTATAGTGGTAATGTATGTATTTTGATATTCTGAAGATAGTTTGTAATCTATGAAAAATTTAAGATGATTTTCTCAGTTGCTCAGTTCAGAAGAATGGCAAACTTTCATTTTTCATTCAGAAAAATGAAATCTCAGAATTATTTAATCATAAAATCACATGTTAAAGCATTTAAATAAACATTTTGAAGACTTTATTGTACCTTTAAAGATGCTGAATACTTCCTTTTGACTTTCCAATGGAACTTTTCCCATACTCTTTTTGTGTACTTAAGTTAAAACAATGTTCTTATTCATTCGTATTTTAAACTTAAAATGTGAATTAGGTATATATTTAAGATGTAGTTGTTTTAAATTTTTCTCTCTTTTCGTTTCTTTCCCCTTCACCTCCGTTGAATTCAGAGCCTCAGTGTTTTTTTTGAAGAACAGTTTTAGGTTCGTAGCAAAATTAGGAGGAAGGTACAGAGATTTTCCCAAATTGACCCTCCACGTACAAGTGCATAGCCTCTCCCATTATGAAGTCCTCCACCAGTATAGGACATATGTTACAATTGGTGAACTTAGATTGACCCACAATCATCATCCTAGGTCCATTCTAGACCTTAGAGCTATCTCTTGGTGTTGTGCACTTATTTTTATGTCTTCTTTAAAAACCATTCACAACAAATGAAAGCCATAAATGAAGGAATTTGTTTTTAAAGAAGAAGATAAGTGATAAACAACTTATAAGTATATCATTCTTTACCCTGCCTTTCCTTAACCTCTGAATTCACAGTTTTCATGAAAAGTTAAAAACTTCCTATGGTTAAAAAGAAAGTCTAATTGCAATTTT